CTACTCTCAAAAAATAAGATTTTACAACATTTGAGATCTTCAGAAATGTACTGTAGACTCTTAAGACAGGACTCCTTGTCCATTTCTATGATATGGACACATCTGGTATGCTGGGGAAGCCAGTGGATTCCGTCTCAGAAAAATGTCTGACATTACATAAAATAAAATGCATAGGATTACCAAAAAACCCAATTATATTGAAAAGCAGATATCAGAATATTTCAAAGAACAAATTTATGATAGTAATATGCAAGCTTTTTTATTAATACATTACTAATCTTTATAATCTATAATTTAAGATTTTTCCCAAATAAATTTGAGAAAATGACTTTCACTGTTGCACTTCTAACATCCAGAGTTTTGTTTTGTTTATTTTTTTAGAATCTTTTAAAGTACATCATTAATTCCAATCTTTTGTAAACAGAAGAGCCTTTATAACTTTTGTGAGGGGTAGTCATATGTGGTTGGGAGATTAATAGTATGTGAATATTAAAATGTCAATGCCAGAGGCAAACTGGACTCCTCTGAAGGATCTAGAATTGTTTTGCTGATCTCTCAGCCACCTGCTGTAGTTCTGTCCCCTAGTGCACGAAGCACCCACCACATCACACATTTCTATCTCTGCCATTCGGTGTCCCCAAGAGCTGGTCTAAAAGTGCAGTTCTGAAACATGAAAAGTGCTAAGCACTTAATCAGATTTCTGGTTCATAAAACACAAAAGTTACAGTGGTTTTGGAAAAAAAGTTCTGAGAAGCTGACAGGACTTTGAAAACCCTTAACTGAAATGTTGGTGGCATAGGCATAAGGCACAGAATTACTCATCTGCACTAGAGCACTGTTACAAAGCAACTCCACCCCACACCCAAGAGTTACCACACGCAGTAGTCCTATCAGCAATCTCGAAATGGATCCTAAGTCAAGCAAAACGTAACAAAACATTCTAGAGAGCTGTGCTCTTAAATGAATGTAAGTTACTGTTCACTCTTGGAGCCAGCACTCCTTATTTTTTTTCAAAAAATGGAATTCTGCTGTCACCAGGGCCATCTGGGTGTTTGTTGCAGCATGTTTGCAGATGACTCCTAGATTTTCAGCCTTTAGATTCTTTGAAGGCCCAACTGAGTCCCTGATGACTCAATGAAAAGCTTGTAGGAAAAGTCACTGCAGTTTGGACACAGGTGGCTGACTTGCATTCCACCAACTCTGGTATTTCATACTCCCCATGAATACTCCCAAGGGGAGTATAAATATAAATATAATTTGGTATATAAAAAGTATAATTAGCAACTCACTAAGTCTTCCTGTGAACATTTTTGAACACCTACTGTGTGCTCAGTGAATAAGCCACAGCCTCTACCTTAGTGTACTACAGCTTAATCTTAATCCCTGGCACAGCTCAGTGCAAACACTAATTGCCTGAAGTCCGCTCTTTAAATGGCCACCAGAGTCTTAACACAACCACAATGTGTTAGATGTTTTAACAGAAGTTGAAGGAAGGAGGAGGCAGTTGTAGGAAGAATGTTCCTAAACAAAGTGTGTTGTGCAATACAAAGAGCTGCACTTGAGCTGATTTTGAAAGTTTTGGTTTTCATATTACTAACCCTAAGAGGATGTGTTTTTGTTTCTCATTAGTCCAATTGAAAAAAAAAAAAAAGCAACAGGAAATTTCCCTTGACCTGACTGAATGTTTGCAACCTGTTTACATTGTAGTATAATTATACTATATATTATATATTATAGTATGTATTATTATTTAGAGAAATAATGGAGTAATTCAAGTCTTGCTTTAGGGCCACTCAGGGGATCAACAGTTATTTATAACACTGATCCCAAATTTCAGGGTAAGGGAGGAGTGGCAGGAGAATGTACATATTTCAATACCATACAAAAATAAATACTTGCCAGCTTTACTTTTATAAGAGGCCTAGAGGTGATACCAAATGAAACAAATAATATAGGGTGGCAACCCTTAGGCTAGTGAGAACTACCATTCTGGAAAATAGAAGTCTACTAGCATGATGTGTGGAAAGAGCATTTTCCTCCAGAGTTGGAAGGAAGGACCTGGATTTGAATCCCAATTTTGCTTGTACCCAGTGGGTGGCCTTAGGAAAATTGTTTAACCTCTGTTTCAGTTTCCTTACCTGTAAAATGGGCCTAAAAATACCTATCCCTTTAGGATTGTTGTAAAGATTCAATGAATTGACATATATAAAGCACTTGGCACCAAGCAGGTATATAAAAAATGGTAGTGCTCTTCCCCAGCCTTTGCCAGTGCAGGAGCTGGGGGGTTTTGGTTGTTACTTTTTGTTTTTGTTTTCTTGGTGGGGCGGGTGGGAGAGGATTGTTGTTTTAAGAAGGTAACTCTTGAAGCCTAGAAACTGTGTTTAGAAGACAGTGTTAACAGTGCATAATCATAGTTTAATTGACAGCCACATTTTCACGCTGAATTCTCACATTGCTTGCTAAATCTGTATCTCTGCATGTAGTGATTGCCATCTACCTCATTTGGAGCACTCATCAAGAATTTCAGCAGGTTTCAATTGAAGAGTTAGTAACAATGATCGTATCAGACAAGTTCATTTTCCATAAAGAAGTCGTTTTCTACCTTTCTTTCTTGTGTGTATGATTTTAAACAGCAAAGCCAAATTTTACCAAAGCAAAAAATTCAAGAACAGTAAGAAATCCCTCATTCATTTAATAAGCATTTACTTAGCATCTACAGTGTACCTCGCACTGTTCTAGGCTCTAAGGATTCAGGCAAGAAGACAAAGACCCTGCCTTCATGAAGCTTACACTCCAGTGACTTCAAAATTGTCTCTGATGTCTTTATCCCTGGAGGCTGGTGCCACTTCATGATGAAGCCAATGATTCAGAAGCAAGGGGACTCAGCACTGGGAAAGAGGCAATCCATGCACAATAAAAAGAATCTGATTCCCTGGAGTCCAGATTCTAATCCCAGTAGGGCAAATTAAAAATGGAGAGGACCTACAGAAATACACTGAGCTATTCTAAATCCTGAGTAAATATTCAGCTGTTGGAATAAGAACAAGAATTTCCACTGCTTTTAGACCAGCATTCTTTTCCATATGGAACCAATTTCTTGAACATTTTTAAGTGTATCTTGGGAGACTCAGTGTTACGTGACATTTGAAACTTGAAACTTGAAAGCAGACTATAATGTCATGATTTAGAATATGGAACTGGTGCAGGGGATTTAACATTCTAAAGCTCACTGCCCCACAAACCTCAAACCTTAGATTCAGTTTTGTGCTCATTCACAGACTTGTGAACTTCCCTAGAGCTCAGCTTCCTCTTCCATGTAATGAAATGGCACCTGTCAGAGTTGGCTAACTGCAACAGCAACAACTCAGAATCTCAGTGGCCTGACACAACAGAAGCCAACTTCCTGCTTTCTTCATAGTCCAATGCTGGTTGACAAGGTGGCCCTGTTCTATCTTATCATCCAGGATCTTGGGCTTTTTAATCACATGATTCCAGCACCTTCTTGAGCCTTGTCCTCTATATTCAGTTGTCAGATGAGGAAAGAGAATATTTGGATACTTGGAAGACTACATAGGTTTTGTTTTCTAGGCAGGCCTGGGTAGGGAGGGGACTTCCATCCTTCTAACCCTTCTGCTCATACTGCAATGTGGTCAGGACTCAATCTCGCAGCCACATCTCTGCTGGGAGGCTGGGGAATGCAGACTGACTCTGTGCCTGGAGGAAGAAGAAACAGTTTGGTAAGCACGAAGCAGACTTCGCCACAATACTTAATTCAAAAAGCTGTTTGGAGGATTACATGAGATAATATGCATAAGAACTCATAAAGATCTCTGGAGTAGTGTTAGCTCTGCACTCCTAGCTAGTCTGGGGCCCATCCCCTCCACTCAGCTCATCTTGGATGGGCAGGGAAGACTAAGGTAGTGACTCTATGTTATCTGCAGAAATGACACCAAAAAAAGAGTCAGAGCAACTCATATCTTTTGCTCCTTTTACCAGGTATCTTAACCTAGAGTCATTTTAGACATATTTCATGTAATTGAGAGCCATAAGCAAGGAGAAGAGGCCATCCTTTCATAACATGCTTCCAAAGAATATTAGTCCTCTTTGGCAAACATTTCCCAGCAAACGCTTGTTTAATTACTAAATGATGCCTAGAATGTGTGACTTCAAGCTCTGAAAGAAGGTGAGATTCACCAGATTCACTCATCCACATCTGTTCTCCAAGCTGCCACAGAGTGATTTCTTCTAAACAGTGTAAATAAGATCATGTCAACATCGCTTAACATTCTTCACTGTCCTTCCATTGACTTTAGAATAAAATCCAAATGCCTTATGCAGGGTCGGTATCCCCCATCCCACACTCCCAGGATCAGCCCTGCCTCCTTCTCCAACCTCATCTCACAGGGCTCACCTCCTCTCCCTCTCCATCCATCCGTCCATCCATCCATCCATCCATTCAACAGCTGCTTATCTAGGCCTGGTTCTAGTCACTGGGGACGCTGCAGTAGAACAGTGTCCCTGCCCCGGTGATGGGAGATGGCATCCTAGCATGACTCTGTCACAGTGCCTGCCCCTGTGAGTTGTTGCTCGCTGGTCTCTTCCCCTAGCCCAGCTCACAGAGGCTCTCGTAGAACAGTTTCGCCCCCTGTGGTTACTCTATCACAGCACTCTGAATGTGTTCATTACAGCATTCAACCATCTGGAAAATCCTTCTGCTTGTTTGCCTGCATTTACTGTGTCTTCCTCTGCCACAGAGTAATTCCCATGAGGACAAGGATCTTGTTTATCTTAGTCACCATAGTGTCCTTAACACCTGTTTGCGTGGCACAGAGCAGAAGCTCAATGCATCTCTGCTGAATGAATGGCTTAAGGAGCGAGTGAACTGACAGGCTGCAGCCAGTGCATCTGGTGATGCCTCAGGCCTGAGGAGAAAGTGTGTGCTCCACCTTCCTTCCTGATAGCCCGCGCTCATCTCTGCCCCTCTGATTGTGATTTTGTAGGGAATGACACCACTCCACTGGGCAGCTTTCCACAACCGGCCTCTGCATACCCAAATGCTGCTGAAGAAGGGAGCAGACCCCACTCTTGTGGATAAAGATTTTAAAACGGCTCTCCACTGGGCAGTCCAGGTGAGAAATTAGCCAGTGGACTTGTCTCAAGTATAAATGGTGTAAAGTGATGTTAACAATTCTGAGTATGTCAGACCTGAAAGATTTTCAAAGGTACAGCCCCAGCACTGATATCAACTTTATATGTATGACAGAGCACGTGAGATACACGCTGCCCTCCTCCCCTCCATTCACATCCACGGGGGCAGCAGCAAACCCGTCACTTGGGAGGATTTGGGTACATCAGTTATGAGGTAAAGAGGGGGAGAAGTTATAGAATATCAGACAGAGCCCACCTGGCTGTTACACACACACACACACACACACGCACACCCTTCTCTCTCTCATTCTCTCTCTCAATCTCAATGGTTGCTACTGGCTCACAGTAAACCAGGATAAACCTTCAAAGAATTACTTGGAAAATCCCTTCAAAGTGTTTGGACCATGACTCTCTTCTTGCTTCCAAATCCTCCAAAGCAGAGTAAATCCAGGTGACCCTGAGTCGTGAACAATGAAAATCGTGGCGCGTGACCCTACCTCACTATCCGAAAACGGCGTCTGTATCAGTGCACAGGACCAGAGAAATCATAAATCTAGTCCAAAGAGGGGTAAACTGAGACAAAGGTGAAAGGATGACCATAGCATAGGGAAATCATTCAAAGGAAATGATTAACTAGGTGTTATGATCTATTCTGTCCTTCAGAGGAGAGCAGGCCCATTGCATCCTTTCAACGAACTTGGTAGCCCATTCTGCTTTTTGATGCCTAACATAGACACCTGCACTGTTTATTTCCATCATCCCAATGAGGGCACCCTTGCTGAACTGCTGCCATGACCCCTGTGATTCTGCCTGCCCTGCAGCGGTTTCACCCAGGCGTTTTCACGTGCCACACACAGCAGAGATGGGCACCTGGCACTTTCAGGGTTGACATTTGTGTCTGAGTTAAGGGGAAAACAGAAGTGATTTAGAAACTACTCTGTTTTTGTTCCTCCAATCTTGGCTTCAGTTACTTTGTAGCAGGGCCAGCCCTGGGCAAAGCTTGTTTTTGCCATCCCCACCTGCCCTGAGTATCCTCCTACACACTTTCAGTATCTAATCACCTGCCCTGTCCCCCTCACGCCACTCTCTGCCCAGAGTCCAGTCCTCTGGCTGGTCAGGGGTCACCACTGTAGCAGTGGCCGCAGGGCAACCCGGCTGGGCCACCAAGAAGCATCCCATGTGTGTTCTCAGCTGAGGTGAGAGTGGTATCAGAATCCAACATTTTCTGTGTATTCATTCCCATCATCCGTTTTCTGATTCCATAGATCTGGGGTGGGGCTCATGTATGTGCATTTTGAAAACTCTCCCCAGGGTATTCTGACCAACATGCCTCCTCTGCTCCCCCTTTCTCCACCACACCCCCAGTTTAGAGCTGCTTCTTGGGACATGGCCTTGCAATAGAATCAGTAGCAGTGCTTGTAAAACAACAGATTCCCAGATCTCACTTCTGATTTGGGATCTTTGTGAGTGGGAAGCCCTGTTTTTATCCTCCAAGAAGCAATTTGGCAAAATCAAAAGAACAGTGTGCTCAGTTGAGAAGATGTGAGTTTGCACTGACAGACCTGGCTTTGTTCTGAGAAAGGTCACTGATATACTTGGCTTAACTATTTGTGTATCTTTGGGGTATGAGGGAGACTGTGCACATGACAGCGATATGTATACATTTCCCGTTCCTCCGGGAGACTGTGATGTCCAGCTGGGGTTGAAAACCACTGTGATAAATGAATTCGTATTAATGGGTGCTGAAACCTTAGCTACTCCCACCTTAGATATTTGCATTTTGACCATGATTTTGTAAAAGCATATGCCTCACTCATTTATTTACTCGATCACTTAATAAATATTTGGTGAGACCTACTGTACATCTGGCATTGGGGGGTAAAAAGGTTAACAAGACAGGTCCGTTTTAGAACCCCTACAACTGTATGTAATATTACGTGTGTGGGCATGTGAGTATGTTAGCATACATTTTTCTGAGGAAGGAGTCCACAATTTTTTCAATTTTTCAGTAAGGATCCATAACTACCCCCACCCCCACCAAAGGTTAAGAATATACTCTGGAGGAACCATGCACCCTCTCCCTCCCTGTGGTTAGCAGTAAAACTCAGAAGTGATATGTCCTGCCCTTTACCCTGCAGAGAAGACTGAGGGTAATTCCAAATGTCAGCTGAAACCATGATTACACTTGCCTCCTTGGGCCTCCGTGTTCATTTTTAACACAAGGTCAGCATTGTGCTCCTCTTACAGTTTTTCCACATAAATGACTCCATTTCCCGTTGTCATTTATTCCTTTCGCTGAACTCCCGGCTTTTCTTTTGGACCATATGAGACCATGTTTAAAGCTGCAGCACTTTGAAATAGTAAAGCCTCTCTATGTGACACAGATAACCAAAGCAGGAAAGATTTGAAATCTTGGGCCCACAAAGTAAACCAAGTTGGACTTCTGCGCCCATTTCTTGGGTCCCTTGGTAGCTGGTGGTGCCCTCCTGTGGGCCCATTGCCCTCATTCACCTCCCGCATATGCCTAGGAGTCCTCAGTCCGCTATCACTGTCCCTGTCTCCATCCAGTCTCCCTTGATGGAATCTCATCCCTTTGGGGCATGTGCTTGCCTATCTGTGATGACACTAGCTTATCAGGAGTCTACACAGATATCTCTTGACCTCATCTCCCTCTCACTCCTCAGTGCCGCAGAAGTTTAGTCATTAATCTTTATCTCACCTATCATTCTACTCAGAATATTCTCAGGTCAATAAATGCAGCTCTGACCTCTCTCTTGAACTTTAGAGTCACATTTCCAGCTGCACTGGGCATCTGCCCATAGTTTCTCATGGACGCTTCAAACTCAACATGGTCAAACTGAATCCATGGTCTCCCCTTCCATCACACTCCCATCCTCCTAGCAGCCCAAGCCAAAGTTGTCCACGTGGTCCATGAACACTCCTTCTTTATCATCTTTCACATCCAGTTGGTTGTCAAGACCTCTCAGTTCTACTTCCTCAGGTCTCACATCTCTGTCACCTCCTTTCTATCCCTGCTCTATAGATCAGGGTCCCACAGGAAGCAGCCCACTCAGATGGGATTAATTGAGCAGAAATTCATAAAGAGGCTATTTACACACAACAGCAGGTTGCCATTAGGGCATCTGGGCCTAAAAGGACATGGAAGGGGAGTGGTTACCAAGATATAGCAAAAGCTATAGCTGTAGGAGAAGGCTTGAGGCAGAAACGGAAGCCTTTGATAGAATAACAAAACTGTAGCCAAGCAGGGAGAGAATGGAAAGATAAATACCTCACTCTTTCCTCCTTCATCTATCTTCTGTCAGTGCCACTCGCTGACCAAACCCAACTAGAAACCAAAGAGCAAGGAAGCCCATTGGATGCAATTCATACATACTAAAGGGTAGAGAGCAAGATGAAAAAAGACAGAGTAGACCTGGAGGAACAAATGGAGACAATTTAGCACACCTACCATCACTTCCTTAGATCAAGTTTCCCGATCTCTCTCACCTGAACAGTTTCAGTATCTGTATTCCTACTTTCAGCCCTTTCCTTCTCCCATCTGTTCTCACATTGCCAAGTGCTCTTTCTACAAATCACAAAGGATGTACTAACATAACTGTTTCTACACCAAAACAGCTATGGTCACTGTTGGTCCTTGGCTCAGAAACCTTCAAAGAGTGCCATTGTGTGGTAAAGAACAAACTCCTTGGATTTCCACTTACTGCTGTGAATGCCTTCTCCCCACCCCACCCCACCCCCCTGCCCTTTCCTCTTCAGCTCGTATAGGCTGTACTCCAGTCATGAGAGAATATTAATAATCTCAGTATCTCATAGACATTCATTCTGTCTTCCCCTTTGTCATGTTCTTCCCTTTTGGTGAAATATTTCTTTCTCCCTACATTCCCCACATCATCCCTTCTAACTGCAGAATTTCTACTTATTCTTCCTTATTTCTCAAGGCCCAACTAAGTTCACCCTCTTTGTTGAGCTCCCTTTCAGAATTTTCCCTCCATGTTGTCCATCTAGCACTTCCTTACTTCTATTACTAGTGTTACAATCAGCGAGGTGCCTGTGTCTCCTCTTCTAGACTGTGCACTTAAGGGCAATGTGCCTTATGCATCCAGATGTCTCTCAAGACCCAGAACAGATCTTTGTGAATCTTAGGTTATTAGAAAAGTATTCACTGAAATCACTTCAATAAACTTACCCATCTCAAGCCAATGAGATTAATGCCTTATTGGGTTCTTTCTGTGAAATACTGTTTTCAGCTTAACCAAGTTTTCCAGAAATGTAATACCTTAATATCAGGGAGTTTTTCCTAATGATAGGAATTCTAAGATAGATATGATGGCAGGTCAGTGAGAGGTGCAAGGATCTGCCCCGCAAATCTCACCACTAGCTCCTTCCTAATCCTAGAAGTTGCATTTATTTAGACTTTTCCTTAGCAGTACTCTTCTTTCAGTACACTTTTCAAGGGAAGGTAGAAAGAAGAGAACTGCACTGATATAAAAACAACTATGTCATGTTTGTTCATTCAGTATGTGGTTGTGTGGTTAAAGAAAGCACACACCCTTGGAGCTCTTGAATATACCATCAAGACCTTAGTGCCTGAGACTGGGTTGGTCCAGCGTGGAGTCGTCCTCCTCCCTGTGGTGGCCAAGATCTGTGATCAACTGTTTGAATTGTGTCGAAATCTTATAAATATACTTTAACTCTAAATATATTTAGTATGCCAAAGGGTAAATATAAATGTCATATACCAGTGAATCCAGTTCATAAGATGAAAGAGCCTTAGAGCTGGAAGGAACCACACAAATCATTTAGTCCAACCCCTCAGTCCACAGTTGGCAAAACTCGTGCACTGGGAGGTTGTCATCGCCAAAGCACACCCCAGACCCACGCGGGTACCCAGGCCCTCCCAGTGCTTGATAAGAGGCTATCTACAAAGCCACATAAGCCCAGAGTAAACAAAGAGAAAGTTTGCGAAATCAACCCCATTACCCTGGGAGCAGAGACTGACCTACGTTAAAGTGGCCTGCATGTGTGAGCTCCCCAGTGCTCGACTGTAGAGAGGAAAGGGATGAAGTAGAAAGAGAAAAAACAGGGTCTTGCCTCAGAGTAAATACAAATAAAGAAAAAAGTGAAAGGAGGGAGATAATGAGAAAAAGTGAAGCTAAAAAGGATGGGTAAATTCTAATCTGCTTGGCTTTGCCCATTGTTTGTCAGCCTTGTTTTACTAATTTGCTTATTTGTGCATTGTTCAGCAAGTATTTGCTATGAGTTACTCTTTTCTAAGCTCCATTTCAGCATAAAAATTCCCAGTCACAGATGTGGCAAGGACAATGCAGAGATACCCTGGAGACTGTCACCTTGCCAAACAGCTAGAAGCAGGAGCTAGCCACTTTCTACATACTAACACAGCAAGGAAGGTTTTTGTGGGGTTTTCCCCCATATTAATCATTAGAGCACCTGTGAAATGAAGCAGTTCAGCAGCTGAGGATCCCCATGCCTCACTGCCTCTCCCCTGCCATTTCTCCCATCTTCCAAAGCTCTCCAGGGTAGTCAGTCCCCAGCTTTGGGATACAGCAGCCTCTGGAGCCAGGCCAAGCAGAAACCCTGGGTCCAAAGAGGCTAACCAAGAAGATGGTCCCAATTCTAAGCCAGGATATGGGGGCATCTTTCTCCTCTAGCTAGCCCCAAACCCTCAACTCTCAAATGTTCACACTGTATAAACTAGTAGATCTTCCCCTCCAGCTCCATTCCAGTCTAAGATATCTGGCTCCAGCTAAACTTATTGACCAGTGTCTTCTCACAGCACAAAACCACCCACCCCTTTAAAGGGGCCTTGTGGCCTAAAACCATAGCCTCTGCTCTGTATAGTCACCATCATGGGACAAGTGATAGAAAGAGACCCACTACTTCCAAGAGAAGGAAGGAGTTTGGAGTTCCCTTACCGAAGAAGTCACCATATAACTAATTTCCCCCAACATGTTAACAAATAAACAACTAGTCTTAAAGCTCCCACTAAGACTCCTTTGAAGGTCACTTAGAATAAAAAGGGTCTACAATCAGGATATTGGAATCTTGTTTTTTTATCGGTCTGCCTATAGCAAAATTACTCTACATTCATTCAACTTTCTTCTTGGCAAGGCTTATGTACTCCCTTCCTTCATGAGACAGAAAGAAAATGACTAGGACTCAGCAGTTCCCAGCAGCGTTCAGAGTACACGAAGGCAACTTGAAGGATTACCCATGGACAAAAACTACACAAATACATCAAAAATAAAATCTACAATCTCATCTGGCCACCCAGTGCAGAATTCTAGAGCTCCATGAGAATAAGATCTGTACAATAATCTTCCCCTATTGAATGGTGTTCCCACCAAACAGAATCCCAGTCTCCGTTCTTCCTAAGGGCCCTCTGGGCACCATCTCATTTCTTCTGTTCTGGTGCTTCTTGGTTTCTGTGACCAAGGCTTCCCAGGCTTGGAACCTACCTTTGACTGACACTCAGCCCAGCTTGCCAAGAAAGGAATGCTGTTACCAGGAGACCACTGAGCCAGGGCCTCAGCTCACAGACTAGTACTCTCCAGGGCTCTCTCAAATTCTTACAAGAGTGCACCATGGCAGCCCTCCTAGGAGAGGCTTTTGAAGCGCCTAATGTTGAAAGAAGTTCTCAGTTGGAAAGGTTCACTTCTTTGCTACTGATGCTGTCGATCTAAACAGCAGTTTTCACTTGAAACTCCCCTAGTATGAACATGCAGGATCAAATAAATAGACCATTTCTTTTATCAAAGATGAAGTGGTGTAGTAAGGAAGTGCAAGGGTTCTGCAGGCAGTCCATCCTGGCTTTGGCACCTCTTGACCATGACCTTGGGCAACTTAATCCCTATGTGCCTCCAATTTCTCCCCTACAGTATAGAGATGATAAGAGTATCAATCTCATGGGGTTATTTTCAGGATTAAATGAGTTAGTACATGGAGATGCTTAGACCAGTGCTGGGCATAGATAGTTCACTCAGTGAACATCGCCATCACCATTGTTCCTGGGAGGATATGCTTATAAAGAAAAAGAAAATATAGCGATAATGTTACGAGTGTCAGGTTTAGAGGCACAGGAATTGTCAGGAAGATCCCAAAAAGGTGTTTTGGAGAAAAAATGTTAAGAGGTGGAAGTTCTCTTATCCAAAGAAGCCCCATGTAACACTCCAGCTCCCAAGGAAACTGGTGCCTAGGGACGGTCTGGTCAGGATCTTAGAAGAGGCCGATTCGGATGTGCTGGGCAGCAGCCTGGCTCAGTTTGCTGCTTCCAAAATTGCTCCTCCTTGTGTCAGGCGAGGAGGGAGAAGAGAGAGTGTGAGCAGTGGGTTTTGTTTTTTCCTTCTGTGCTTGATGCTCCCTCTTATACAGAGGGAGAACCGTGACAGAGTGTTTTGCTGTTTGAATCACTTTGGCAACCTGAATTCCTTTGCTCTTCTAGGAAATTGTAAACAAAATAAATTCATTGAGTGGACATTATTTTTTTACTTCTGTTTTCCCTCTCCAATGGCTAGTACTTCTTAAAAGGGGAGAGGGGTCTCTTGATTGTTTTATTTTTTTTTATTGAAGTATAGTCAGTTTACAATGCTGTGTCAATTCCTGGTTACAGCATAATATAGTTCAGTCTTGATTGTTTTAAATTTTCATGTTTCAGACCCCTTCAAAATATGTTGAAGTAAAATCAAGTAAAAGAATCTTAGCAAAGTTGATAAAGCAGGCATGAAAGTTTAGATACGGTCACTGTAACCACCTTCTGATGACAAGCATGCTATAGAACTTAACTCACTGATCCAAAAGATTTGAAAGTTATTGTGAGACAAAGGAGGATGGAAGGAGAAATAGGATGTAAGACAGAAAGTGAGAGGGAGAGAAAGAAAAAGGTTGAAGTCAGGGACCACCTATGGGCCTGCCACCAGTACAGCCACAGCGGGCCCCACACTCAGAAGGGAGCTCTGTGCTTGGGGCACGATGCTCTTTGGCCATTGGAAAATTCTCAATAACTCTATCTTTGAATTTGTGTTCTGTAAGTTAAGTCTGATAGGACAGTAGGTGAGCCTTGGCTCACATGGTCCCACTTCCCTGCCACCCTGGGTCAGATGCTCAGGCCCCAGCTCCGCAGTCCTCTGGCAGGGTTTGGGCACAGACTCAGAGAGGGTCAGGATCAAGTACATGCCAAGTTGCAAGATGGGGCCCCAGGTACCTGGGAGGGTTCACACTCTCTGTGTGAATCCCCAGCCTACGGGAGTGTGACACTAAAGAGCAAATAAAAATCATGACAGTCAAGAGAGACACCATAGAAGAAAGGAATACACTATTTCCCTGCTGAGTGAGCAGCAGTTCCACATTTTAATTTTCGCCTGGACTCCACAAATTATATAGCTGGCCTGGTTATAGCATTTAAAATCTACTCAGTGCTTTTCCTGGGGCTCAAAGTTGAGAGCTTTGAGTGCCCCGGGCATTTTGTCCCACAAGAGGTTTCAGAACTGGTACCAGCTGCTGTCCCCGATACAGTGGAAGTACACGGGAAGTTTCACGGTGTAGTGGTTCTCTGTGAAGCCAAGCTGAGTAACATCCGGAAAGTCAGTGGCGGATGCAAACAGAGAGGGGAGGGGAAGGAAGAGGACAATTGAAAACCAGTGAGTGCTGTTCCACAGAATTGTGCAAACTGACTCAGAGGTTCTAAACACAACTCTGGAGTCAAGTAAACTGGGATCATAAAATGGGAAGAATGCCAAAGGAAATTTAATATAGGGACATTTATTATGAGGTGGCTGTTGAACAGCATTTGGAATGCATTAAAATTGCAATTTTTAAAAATACAACTCTCTTTTTTTGCCCAGGGTCCCTGAGCCTGGCATGTGGCCTGGCTCCTGGCTCCTGGCTCCCAGGACTACAGTGTCTCTCTCTCATTTCTTTATCCTGCTCCTCACGCCTCCTAGGGACCCCCATTCTACCCATAAGATTGGTGCATGGAGTTACAGGGTCTCTGTGGATTCATTGAGAAAAGGAAGATGCTGATGAATATATTTGGACTGTTTTATAATCTTTCCACAGATATCAGGAGAAATCTGTAGGATAAGACTTTCCATTTGTGTGAGATAAAACTAGAATTTATTTTATTGGCCATTAAGGACTCTTTGTCATGTTAAATTGCAAATGCTTACACAGTGTTTTTTTCTGTTTTTCAGTCGAATGAAAAGGTAACATGCACAGCATTTATTTACTCATTTGTTCGAGCTGAAGGGATGTAGGATACTCTCAAGGAATAGCTAGTGGCTCTTAGGGCTGGGTACTAAGAAGAGTATAGAATAGCCTCCTTTCAAAGATAAGATAAAAAGCTTATTGTAGACTGACACAGAATGAGGGACCCAGTTTAGGTGGTTGCCTGAAGTTCTTTCCTTCTCATACTTGTTTTATTTCTTTATTGATTGGCTACTAAATTATGATCCACTTCCTTTCACAAAGAATTTTGGCAATTAAATTACATGCAGTTTATAGCAATTTGACCATTACTAGACCATTTTGGTCATCATTATGCCACCAGTCAGTACTCATCATCATCATTTTGTTAACCTTAAAATTAACACCGCCAGTTTCTCAGGGGTCAACATCTACAGCAAGTGGGGAAGCAAAATGAATAGGTTTAATGAGAAAGTTGTCTAGGAGGTCCACCCATCATGCTAGCTCTGATGCAGGCCAATTATACCTGTATTTAAGTCCTCCTTAGTTCACTACTTATGGAAGACAGTTTAGCTCTTATGGGAGATAAAAATCCCTGCAGTGACTTGAGACAAATGGAAATTTGTTGGTGGGTTTGATAAAGTGTATTTTCTTTTTTTGTTGTTGTTTTGAATTTTTTACTTTGAATTTTTATCTTAAGATGCATAGATGGATTGTACATAATGAGCTTTCTTTGACTCTGTTTTCCAGAGTGGAAATAGAATTCTGTGTTCCATCATTCTGAGCCATCACCAGGGTCCATCCATAATCAACTGTGATGATGAGAGTGGGAAGACGTGCGTGCACATCGCTGCAGCAGCAGGCTTCAGCGACATCATCGGCGAGCTGGCGAGAGTCCCTGAGTGCAACCTGCAGGCTCTGGATGTGGACGACAGGTATCCATGGCAACTCAGAAAGGGCTGGCAAATACCAGTCATCTTTTCTAAATTTTAACCTCAAAATAAATAACATGTTTAAGGAGTTATCCTATGTGACCAGATCCTATTGCCAGTAATATTTATATATGTGCTTGTGACAATAAACCCTGCTCTATTTTAGTCAGGGCAGGAAAAATCATTGTTATGGAGAGAAACACTGTGACTGTACAGTGTTATCAGACTTTCCACTTTTTACTAAACATTCTCAGTGTTCTCAGAAAGCTTTCTGTATATGGCTTCCTGCTATATTCGCTTTTTGTTCTTAACAGTAAGTCTTATTTTTTTTTCCTTCATTCCTGGATTATGTCGTAAAGTCAACAAGCTCTTGTTATCCAGAGAAGAGCATAATGGAGGGTTTGTATTCAGAACTAGATGTGACCTTATCATAGTTTTGTTTTGATTTTCTTCAATCATTAAAGATGTATTGATGTAGAAAAGGAAACTGAGTCGAGAAAAGTAAAGAGACTTACCTCAGAGGTAGTTAACAACTAAATGAAAACCTGGACCCTTGTGTTCCAGACATAGAGCCATTCACCTATGATGCCTTTCACCCATAATCTACTATTACAGCTTTTCAACTACAATGTTTATCTAATCTTTGTTTCAGTTAGGCATAGATTCAATGAAAATACAAGAATAATGGAAATAAAAGAATAATACAGGTTCAGTAGAAATGTAAGAATAATATAACAACAAATAAGACTATTGAATGGACACCAGACATTAACACAACATTGTAAATCAACTATACTTCAATTTTTAAAACATCCAGGCCCCCCAAAAAAGACTATTGTATGGAAATACAAGAACAATACAAAAATAATAATAATAATAATACAACAAATAACACTATTGAAAATAAGTATAAGGTTTATACACTATCTGTGGTTTCTTTTACCTTTTTCTATTGAAGTACAAAATTAGTCACCTACTTACCATGATTTTAAATACCCCAAGAAGCGTCTTCTACTTCCTGATACCTGAAATCTTTATACCACAAGGAAAAAAATTCTTGGGTTCCATATAAGTCTCAGAAACTGGGGATGGTTAACATGATGACTTTAATTAAAATTAATGTTTAAATCATTGAAAGCAGACCTTTTCCTAAGAGCAGATGTTGAACCTGAGCAGGTAAGCAAGTAGAAGAGAAAAAGAAGGAAAAGAGGGCTGGAGAAAGTTTACCTTACTTCAAAATACTTATAGAACCAGCTCTGAATAGAGTATTTCCCATTCTGCATTATCACATGCTTAGCAGAGAAAATTTAATTCCCCCAGCCTCAGGGAAGAAAGGAAAACCAAGGGGAGAAAAAAAGTCTACAAGACGGGTCCTATGAGGGTTCAAAGGGAAGTAAAATCTCAAGGAGGATCTAGTTCCTGCTCCAAAGCTCAGCTCATGTGTTGTATGCATTGATTAAATCCTGCTCTCCATTTTGTTTCAGTTTCTGCCTCGTGCAACTCTGCCTCCAGATTGAAACTACAAGCTTGTGTTAGTATAGACGCTTTCACATTTTTCTTAGGCTTAAGTACTTAAGCATTTGTAATAATTGTGACTTCTCTTTCCTTCTTCTCTTTTCCAGTAGAGAGAAAGTTTTTGAGGAAAGGGAAGAAAAATAAGGCAATTATAAAAAAAAGAAAAAGAAAGAAAGGAGAATGAGGGAAAATATGGGGGAACTAAGAACTAGTTCTGTGAGATAGTAAAACACATACATCTATGACATTTACAACATGGTGGCACTAGTTTGATTGATAGCACAGAACACCTAACTCAGAAATAGCTTATGTAGCGTAAATGTCCCAAATTTCATCAGTCTAAAAGGTCATACTCTCCCTTAAAACCCAATTCATTTATCTTCAGGAAGGACAGTCTTTTATCAAATTCTCCTCCCTACATAGTTCTGGGAATTCTCTAGGGAATATTTACATGTTCCATAAATCACTCCTTGGCTGCTGACACCTCAGCCAATGTTCTTGCACCCATCATCTCCTGCCATTCAGAGACCACCTCATCAGCCCACTGCTTGCCTCTGATGCATTTCTTCTGCATCATGGGCCCTGACCCTCCAGCTCCTCACTGGATAGCTGAGTCCAGTCTGCTATGTTTGCAGGACTATTCTGAAGCTTGAGATAAGAAAGGAACTACAGCTTAGATAACTTGAAATTGTATACTACAGATGGCCCACAAAGGCTCTATGTGTATTAGTTAGAAGCTTTGAAGTTATCTTTGCTTCTTTTGTTTATCTTCAAAATAATTTAAGTTTTTCCTGTGTTCTTCTGGACCTCTTCTTCCATGCTGATGGTCAGAAGAATTAAAACAGTCAGTCTAAGCAATTGTTGTAAAGGAGTATTTCACAGTGTTCCAGAGTGAATTGTCACCTGTTGGTAAACCTGACTATATTAATGTCCAATTTATCATCTGCTGAATTTAATGATAATATATTCTCTAAACAGGGGGGCATAATATGGCTGGTGCCTCATCTTGTTTTGTAATAAATATAGTCTGGAGACCTCTCACATAGAATGGAATGAATCATATCTGCTACAGATTCAAATAGGCAGTGTGATTGATCACTATATTGAAAAAATATATGGTCCTAGTAAGTGTTCTCAAATTGCTGCCCATGGCATAACATGAGGAGAAAGATGCTTGATTGACAGAGGACATAGTCTACATATGGGAACTCTGTTCATACTGTGGACATGACTACTCTCCAAATACTAAGGCCCAAGCCCCTTCACAGATAACCCCAACTGAGCCCTTCTCCATCTAGCCCCCGGCTGCCTCCATGTCTGAGAGACCTCTTGGCTCTCCGAGGAGTGGCCTTCTGCCAGGAGTCAGGCACCAGAGTGAGGCCTGCCAGGCTTCCTTTCCTGCCCCAGGATTGATTCTTTCCCAGAGTGACTGACAGAAAGAATAGCCATTCTCTTCACAGAAATCCCCTTTTGCAGGAATGTCATCTCTCTCTGTGCCTCTCCTTAACCTCCATGGTCCCACTGTATTTCCCAGCATCTCTGCCAAGGAATCTGGCCCCCTTTGCTCTTGGGTCCAGTGGTCCTTTATGCTCTTAATCACCCTCTTGTCCCATCTGCCTTGACAGCTGATGGGGACTCTTTCTACTGTTGGGGAACTATTTTGCTCCAGTTCTGTCTCAGTTCTGGGCTTGACTTCCGGAAACAGAGAGACATTATTTCCCTTATCCAGCCTGCTACATCCCTCCCCTGAGGTTGAGCACAAAGTCAACCATTTCTTTAAATGGAGGAAAGAGAAAGAGAAAAAGTGTATGTATGTATGTATGTATGTATGTATGTATGTATGTATGTATGTATATGTCAGGATCTCAAAATATGATCCCACTACATTAATAAGTTGATAAAAGTTGACTATGTAACTGGAAAAACAGACTAGCTCCACACATATCAAAATACACATTACAGACACACATACAGTTTTTTTTAATCCAGATAAATCTAGACGCAAATATTTGGTTTCCTTTTTATCTACATTTGGTAAAATTTACTCTCTCTCTCTTTTTCTTTTGATGTATAGTTCTGAGTTTTAATGCAAGCATAGATTCATGTAACTACCGCAGACAAGATTCAAGACAGTTCCATCAAATCCAACATCAACTCAGTTTGTTCTTTTGTAGTCAATCCCTCTCCCATCCTGAGCTCTAGGAACCACTGATTAGTTCTCTGTCTCTTGGGTTTTGCCTTTTCCAAAATATCATGTAAATGGAAATATACAGTATGTAATCTTTTGAGACTGACTTATTTCACTTAGTAAAATGCACTTGAGATTCACCTATGTTCCATAAATCAGACTGTTCTTTATATTGCCTAGTTGTAGTCTGTTGTGTGGATGAACTACAGTTTGTTTATCCATTCACCCGTTGAAGGACATTGGGTTGTTTCCAGTTTTAGGCGATTATTAATAATGTTGCTATAAACATTTGTGTACAAGTTTTTGTATGAACAAAAAAATTGTCATTTCTTCAGCAATATATCTAGAAGTGAGATTACTCAGTCATGTGGTAAGTATGTTTAACTTTAGAGGGAACTAACTGTTTTCTGGTGTGGCTGTTTCTGTTTTGCCTTCCCACCAGCAATGTATGAAAGTTCCGCTTGCCCCAAATCTTTACCAGCACTTGGTATTGCCAGGGTTTTGGTTTTTGGTTTATTTTTGTTTGTTTGTTTGTTTTAATTTTTTTAGCCATTTTAATAAGTTTGTAGTGGTATCCCATTGTGGTTTGAATTTGCATTTTGCTAATGAAAGATGTTATACAGCACCTTTTCATGTGCTTATTTACCATTATGCATAATTCTCTGATAAAATGTTCTAATCTTTTGCTAATTTTTTTATTTAATTTTATTTTTTTAATGGAGATACTGGGGATTCAAACTAGGACCTCATGCATGCTAAGCACATGCTTTACCACTGAACTGTACCATCCCCCTTTTGCTAATTTTTAAAGTTGGCTTGTGTATTTTTCTATTGTTCAATTTTGAAAGGTTTTATATATTCTGAATATAAACCTTTTGTTGGATATGAAATTTGCAAATATTTTCTCCCAGTCTCTGGCTTTTTTTTTTCCATTTTCTTAAGAAAATATTGGTTTTACAATTTAGCAAAGTTTTAAATACTGATGAATATTTGTCTACCTTCTGGCTGATGAAGGAGTTTCTAAAACATAAAATCATGAAACAAACCAAAAATGAAGAGGTCATTAAGTGTCATTTTTTAAAATTTTTAATAGAAAATGGAAAAAATTGCTAAAAAATTAAAAGCTAAGTAACAAATTGGAGAAATATTTTCATAAACATAAACTAGAAAAAATGGATTACCTTTAATATTTAAAAAGCTCATGTAAATTAGTAAGAAAACTAACAATTTAATGGAAAAATTGGTATAGGGCATTGAGTCATCTCAATGAAGAAATTCAAATGGCAAACATATTTCAAAAGTTCATCCTCACAATTAAGGAAAGGCAGAAGAAAACAACACTGAAGTATCATTTTGCCTACCAAGTTGGGAAAGATTTTTAAAGATGGTACTAAAGATAACTAATATAAAGAAGGCATAAGGACACAGCTGGTAGGAAGAGAAATTGAGTCTTCTTAGAAGGCAGTTTTGCACTATGTATAAAGAGCCTTAAAATTGTTCATACCCTTTGACTCACTACTTCCTCTTCTAGGAAATTCTCAGGAAGGCCAGAGAAGGCAGAAGGCTAAGGAATGTCAGAATTAGAGGAGAGGCCCCTACACACGTACACCATCATCCTGAAGCCCCACTTAATACATACCATTTCCACACTGTAAATAGCAACAAGTCTCTCCTGCCACCATCCAACTTGGAGCAGGAGCTGTTGCCAGCTAAGCCACCTGTACCATTTGTGTGCTTAGGCACTTGTGTTGTTCCCCTATGGTCCCCCAGGACACCTCTGCACTGGGCTGCAGCTGCAGGGAAGGCAGACTGTGTGCAGTCACTGTTGGAGCTGGGCATGGACAGCAACCTGCGAGACATCAATGAGAGCACGCCCCTAGCCTACGCCCTGTACTGCGGCCACACGGCCTGTGTCCAGCTCCTCTCCCAAGACAGCAGGTGAGCACACGAGGAAGCATTCATTTTTCCTTCCTCTCAAAGATTTATAAAATTGGATGAAATTTTTTAAACTACCCATGCACAAAACCGGGAATAAGTGAATAACTGTGTTTGCCATTATCTAATATAAAATGACATGTCCTTGACTCTGTGGAGGAAAATAATACTAGCAAGCCTGAATCTGTCAGCCCAACATTCACTAAAATTTAATCTTTTCTTTCCTTTTTCTCCCTTTTCTCTTCCCTATATGCCATGTCCTCTTAATTGTTCTTTTGGCTAAATCAACATTTCTCTCTGTCAAGTGAGTCAGGTGTAGGTGAAGCACCTTGAACGACCTGACCATACACGTATGTCTACACATTTTAACAGCATCTTGATATTATTATGAATATAGTTTAAACCTCATAAAACCCCTGAAGTCTGTCAGGGACCCAGCCTTCGAGGTTCAGTGGACCACAATTGAGACCTGCTGGCCCAAATCACAACCTTTAACAGGAGGAGGAGACTGATTGTAGAATATGCTGAAGTAGCATTAAATAAGGGCATGTTCTATCTGGAGAAACTTGAAAGAATGTTACAGCTCTCTTGGGGTTCTCTCTGACAGTATCAGGAGTCCAGAAGCTGTGTTTGGTATTTCAGAAAGCCTACTGGAAGGTGAAAGAAGGAAGATAAAAATATGTCATGGGAATAAAGATTCCAATTGTGCACTGTGTGACCTGCAAGGGAGAAAAAAAAATCATTACATGCAGCCAAAATAAGTGGTGATGTTTTTCAAATTACAGATTACAATATCTCACTCCAAAGAGTAATGTTGCAATCTGGCTTTTAGGGCCTGCACATGGGTCAGGTTTCATCAATTAACTCATACCACAGAAAGCATTAAATCAATTGTGGCCTCAAAAGAGAATAACACAGAATTTTCCAAGGAACAAAAACAGAGTAGAGCCTTAGGGAAACTCTCAGCACAAGAAGAGCCAGCGGACAGCTGCTGACCTTTATTTCCTTTAGAAATTGCCCACCCATTGGGCATTGCTCACTTTTCTTTTGCTGCCACGCCCAACCTCTGACTTACACACTTCCTCTTCTGCAGCTGAAGCCCAACAAAAGCTTCTCTCCTTGGCTGCTTTTAGTATCCTTTTTTTTTAAAGTGTTTTTCAATAGGAAATTTAGTAGAAACTCAACAAGAAACAGCACACAAACAGCATAAAATGGGCAGTCTTCCTGAGGTGGATAATGTCAGAGCTCTGCCCAGACCTCCTGGGACCCCCTTCAGAGAAAGAGTAAAACCACACTCCCCCCACCTCTGCAACCTCCACCCTGCTGCTGCTGGTTGAAGCCTGAACTCAACATTTGCCCTTCATGTCTTGCACTCCTACTGATGTCCTTAAGAAGTGAGAACAGTAATGCTTTAAGCTATTTTCAGCTTAAGTTATCCCTTGGCGAAAACAAATTTTGAAAGGATAGCCTCTGAGTGAGCAAGAGGAATCTAACTAAGAAATGTTCTAACTGGGCAGAGAATGGACCAGGGCAAGAAAGGAGGTGGCAAAGGGTGTTCTTGCACATCACCTTTGACTTGAGAGGCTTTGGGGTGTCTGAATGATCTCAGACAACCTGCCCAAGCAGATGAAATAGTGGGAGGTATTTTCTTTGGTTGTAGTGTTGTCTCTACTTCCTATCCTCATGTATCATCCTTATTATTTTGTATTCCCACAGAACAGAGCCTACTCGACCCCTTCCTTCCCAGAACAGTAGACCCCAGAGGAAGGAGGGACGATTCAGCATGCTCAATCATATCTTCTGCAAGAACAAAAAAGAAGAGCAGAGAGCCTATCAGAAGGATCACAGCAGGGACTGGCACATGGGGGAGCACACCTCGGAAGTCGATGACATCATCACCACCTTTGACAGCATCCTGGATACCAACTGTCAGGAACAGCCTGGTGATCAGGTGGCTATGGTGGACTTTAAGAAGAGGGCCTCAGAGAATTCAAAATATCACTTGCCAGAAAAGAAGCCCTTGGCCCATAAAGGTCTTCCACCAGTCAGAACGCAGAGCCTCCCACCCATCACCCTGGGCCATAACTTCCTGACAGCCTCCCAGGGGGCCACTTCCCATGCTGGCCTGAGCTCTGGTTCTCATCACACAGCCCAGCGATCTCAGAAAAGTCGAAGTGAGCAGGATTTATTGAATAACAGAACTGGCTGCCAGGCATTGCTGGATAACCCTTGGAAAGGGGATTCTAACCAGGTGTTCTATAAAGCATGGACTGTGTCTTCTTCTGATAAGCTGTTAGACAGGTTGCTCACCAGCAAATCTCACCAGGAGGTGTCAGGACCACCACATCTTCCTCATCTACATAATCCTTCATCAGGTAATGTCCTTGTTTCCTTCTTCCTCATTCCTGGCAGGCTCTATACAAGAACTGTGTCATGTAGTTCTGGCTTAGGAACTGGAGTGATAGCAGTACACTAGAGGGCAGGACCAGAAGGAAATGGGTGATTAGGCCACCTTTTTCCCTCAAGTCCTCTGGGTTCAGGATTTCCAGGCTATAGAGACATTCTGCTTTTCCACCCTGAGAGCAATCATCAAGCGAAAGTATGTGCCTTCTAATCTCATCACAGCAAATGTGTGTGGTGACCAGTCTATTAGAGCAAGAATATTACTATTTCCACCAATAAGGATTCTTACCCAGGGGTATATGGCAATATCACCTAAGAGAAGTTGATTTGTTTGTGTGATTATTTTTAAATCATGTGTTCATTCCTCACCCCAGACCTACTGAACCAAAATCTTGGTAAGGAAGGAGGGGAAATGACAAAGCCTTCTATGTATACGTGCAGAAAGAGAACCCACTCACACATGTATGGTTCAAGTCTCCACACATACCAGAGGGTTACATGGAAGTTCTCTTGCTACCTCTTCCCCAGCTACCCAGTGCCCCTCATCCAAAGCTACTAATATTATTAATTTTTAATTTATCCTTCCAGAGATGTTCTATACAGGTATATATTTATACACATTTAATATGTATACATACTGTCAGGCTGCACCTTGCAGGCCTACAAGGGCTGTACTCACCCAGCTTCAAGACCAAAGAAAGAGCCTAGAGTCAGTGACAGAGACATCAGTGGTTTAATGGGTAGGGGGATCTTACACGTCTGAAGCAAGGTCCTGGAGCGACACCCCACCATGTGCCACAGTCTTTGCTCCCAGGGGAGGGGTGCTTAGCAGTTACAGGGGGAATTACATCAGGTTGGCTCATTAGTTACCAAGGCAACCAGCACAGGGTACGCCCCTCACTACCCCTTTGATAAAAACAGTCACTAGCTGGGGCCTGGGGCAGGTATGTAGGAAGATCTGTCACATGAGTCGGGTGTGGGTGAAGCAGGCACTAGTTGAGCGGGGAATGCACAGAGACCAAGAGAACACCACCTTGAACCGCCTGACCATACACGTATGTCTACACATTTTAAATAAATGTATCACACTGAAGTATCTATATTTTTATATACATACAAGCAATATATATGTGTCTATTCTCCCCCCAAAAATTATCACCCTAAAAGTTTCATTTATATTTTTTTAATGATCCACAGGTGATTGTGATGCCCACCAGAGACTAAGAACTATTGTTCTAAAACCAAGGCTCAACACAGCTTCCAAAATCAGTTCATTACCACAGTATCTTATTTTTCTAAGTGAATTAATGACTAATATTTAAAAATCATGAAGCTTCACATAAAAATTTTAAATTATAGCTTTTGTTGAGAAATTGAAAAACTTGGCAACATTGAACCCAAATAGCAGTTGGCAGTAATTGGCTAGTTCTGAGTAACCACTGCCCCCATGGACGCCACTTGGGCATCACTGCCCCCAGTGCAACCCAATCCACACCACTCTGTAGTATCTCTCCATGGAGCGTCAATTGTTCTTTATCAGCACATTTCTCTTGTTGTTTTTCTAATAGTAGGGTTAAGGGGAGAAATTATATATTTCTTGAACCCACAGTTCTGTCAAAAGTAGAATAAAGGGAATGTTAAATAATTAGCTGTGCCTGTATCAAAGCTTTTTTTTTTCAACCAACATTTTTGAGTGCTGATAATAACTAGAAGCCATTCTAGGTAACTGAGTCATAAGATAAATCTTCCAAGAAACTTCAGCCTATAAACGAGCTTTAAGGGATATGGATTTGCTAAAATAATTGTGCAACTCACTTTAAATTGACTTTCTTCTCATATTTAGATACAAGATCATAGGCATATTAAATGGAAAGGACCTTATTCATTCATTCTTTAAATGACTGTTGAGTATCTATCATCCCAGTTTATCAAGAGGCAGCGTACCAGTAGTTAAGAGAGGGATTCTGAAGCCATACTACGTGGGTTCAAATTCTAGCTCTCTCATTTACTTGTTGTTGCTGAATCTCTCTTAGCTTTTGTTTCCTCATGGGAAAAATGGGAAGAAATTTAGAGCTGTGGGTTGCTGTTAAGATTAAGCAAGTTGATACATGTAGTTAGAACTGTGATTTAAATGTAGTGCTATACACACACATTTGTGGTTTTTCTTTTTAAACTGTGTGCCAGGCCCTATGCTAAGCACTGTGCCTTAGAGACAAGCTAGAAATGACCTTTGTTTAAAAGGTGATGAAATTTGCTCTCTGATCTAGTCTTTTCCCTCCGGCTCTCCTTTTATCTCGGGAAGCTACACTTCTCAGGCTCCCTTACAGCTGCTTCCAGGTACTTGTGGCCAAGTGCCAGGAGGCACTGACAGAAGGGTAAGAGCAGGAGAAAGAGGGAAACCAGTTTAGTGCTACATAACATCCCTCTGCTTCCAACTCTTCCCACTCCTTCCACACAGCCCCTCACTCTAGCTCCCACTAGCTTCTGGGCCTTGGTCATACCACTCTTCCCCCTTATCCCTTCAGCCTAGAGGTGGTTGAATCTTCCTGCTATGGCTAATCTCTGGATTGTCCTTCTGCCCTGTCCTCTGGCTTCTCAGATTTTCTATCACCAGTATAACCAACTTTCTATATAAAATTCCCTGTTTCAAAGACCTAGGGAGGTCTCTATTTTCCTAAATAATCCCTGACTGATAAGGCAAGACATCTCTCTGGGCTACAGTTTTCCTACCCTCTGGATAGAGTCTGGGAACATTTTGTTTCATGAGGTCCTTTCCACTTAAAATTCACATGGCCTAGAAAAGTTAAAACAATTTGCTCAAAGTCTTACAACTAATTAGTGACATATTCAGAACTTGGACCCAGAATCCTAAATAGGAAGGTATCACCATGGCAGTGTATTTCTTTCTTTAAATATCAAAGTCCAGTTAGTATGCTTACCAAATTATCTACAGTGTGATTTTCTTAGAAATTACATTGTCCTCCCCAAAATAAAAAGATTTCCCTGCCTTATGGATTTTATTTTTGTGGACATTTTTAGCCCAATTTGAGATGTTGTTTTTAGAACTACTGAGGCTTCCAGACTATATTTGGGAGGGTTCACTTAAGTGGTTTAAGTTGTTAGTCTAGGCAGGTTGAAACTCAGCAGATTTCTGCACTGAGCTCCCAAACTTGATGTGAAAACCTAATGTGGTAAAGCAATTGAACGCTGTAAATCATACCACTGCACCCTGGCTTGAACTCGGATCATCCCTTTACTTTGGCTTTTCTCTTTTCCTGTCCTGGGTTTAGTAGAAATAATATGGGCTAGAGGTGCTACCGTTTGAATTCCTGGCAGCCAATATCCTGTGCTTACATCAGCAACCCTGAACATTTAGCTGTAATGATTATTACTTAACATTTATTGAGACCTGTCAGTGGGCTAGATGGAGAGAGATGGGGGACGAGGCACTTAACCTAATGAGGGAATTTGGAGTACATCAGCTTAATTCGTTGCGAGCAGCTCTCAGAGAAAATGGAACAGAAAGCTCTGCGGTGTTTGCTACCAGCCTGGTTATTTACACGCCATCATAAGGAACATAAGAGAGTGCTTGCTTCCTTTCTCCCTCAAGAGAAAACTTCCTTCTTGAGAATTTTCTAGACTGACCCAGCAACAGTGCGCTCTCTTCCTTATGTAGATCTGGTACTGTGACCTCCTCTCCCCACTTCCCCCAAACCCCCCCTTCCCCGGTTAAACCCATCTGAGACTTTGCATCTTTCCAGGACAAAGGCCAGATTCTTTAGCTGGCAAACAAAGTCCTCCCGCATGGCCTGGCCTCACTTCCCATTCTCAGCTTCTGCACCTCCAGTCTCAAGTTCTTTCCCCTCACCCACTTGAACAGTTCCCTGAATCTCTCTCAGTTCCCTGACAACCCCTGACCTTTTCACTCTATGACTTCTTTGCCCACATCATTTTTACCTTCCATCTGCTGTGTGCTTCACAGATTCCTACAATCTTTTAAGAACCAGCTCAAAACTCACCTGCTCTGTGGAAGTCACCTTGCCTGCTATAGGAGGTGTGGCCCATTTTTACTATTTATCATAAAATAGCTCCACCCTTTCTAGCCTCCTCTGGGGCAGACAGTGAACTACGTACGCACTAACCTTTCAAAAACACTGCAGGAGAGAAGTTTTTAATCCCCATTTTAGAAATGAAGAAGTTAAGGAGTAGAGTGATTAGCCCACCTGCCTAAGGCCACAGAGCTACCTTGGAAGTGGCCCTGTAGACATTCAAACAAGGTCTGTGGGATTCAAGACACCATGACCTCTCTGGATCCTCCTTTCCTCTGCAGTACCCTCACAGCACTACTTGTGGGCTTCGACTTTACCTGCCTCCTCCAACACACATCCGTCACTCATCCTGAGCATCTTGCCTTCTCTACCCTTTGTACTCTAGGCTCTAGAATACACCAAGTTTGCGATAGTTAAGTGCTAAATTTATTTATTCATTATGATTATTGTTGGTCCTTCATCCTCTTCTGGTTCCTTCACTTAAATGTGAAAACCTTAGCCATCTTTTCTGAAACAGCGGTCCTCATCCCTGTCCTCACAGGCTGGACATTCCCTAAAGATGCCTACAGCACAGATATGAGAATTCTGGGCTTTGCACCCTCCACCCTGCTCTTCAAAACTAAGCAAAATGCTAGTATGGGATGAAGTTTAACTCTGTTCCCACGTCCTCCTAAATCACTGCTGAAGTCCCTCTCTGACACTTCTCCTATCCTTTTGATATTGCTTTGGCCCCTAAGGAAGAGGCACGATAGTGTGGATTTTAGGGCCAGGCAGACCTAGGTTGGAGCCCAGGCTTTGTCACCTCCCATCATGTGACCTTGAGCACATTTCAGAACTCCTCCCAGCCACACCTCCCTCATTTGTAAAATGAGGATGATAATAGTATCTATCTCATAAGGGAAGGTGATTGTAGGATTAAATGAGATTACCCCTACAGCATTTAGACCTGTCCCTGCCAATAGTAAGTTCAATGTGGATTATCCATAATTGTCACTATCTCATTTTTCAGTTTTGCAAATTTCTGCTTAAGTGTTCATGAATAAATAAGATAGGAGCTGATATGGATTTTACTGTAATTCTACTCAGGAATATTTTCTTTTTAAATAATGGCTTGTGAACTTATTTGACCTTCAGAGTTCAAAGGAGTCAAAATATAATGGCAGAATATCTACCAAAGAGACTGGAAGTCTTGCTTAATCTTCATCAAATGACTGAGATGACTGCCCCTATAAATCTACCATTGGACTCACCTACACAGGTGGAAGGTGGATCTTCTTGGCTAATGCTTTTTCCCCCTATTCTAAGGACAGCTTTGCCCAAATGGAAGCCTTAAATCCTATGAGTATTTCTGTAGTGATTCTGGCTCCTACTAAACTACTAAGCAAAAGAGCAAATGAATACATGCCTCGCTGTGCAGGAGACCTTGTTAAACACTCCACAGAATAAGACTGTAATAACTGCCAGTGTTTACTGAGTGTTTACTCTGTAAGCTAAATGCTTTACATTTGTTCTCCTATTTAATTTGTATGACAACTGGAAAAGACAGACAATTATTTTCACCATTTTTACCTACATATGAAGAAATAGAGGTTTAGAGGGAGGACATCATTTGCCCAAGGTGGAAATTAAGTCTAATCCTATCTGATCCCGGAGCCCAAACTCCCATTTGTTACACTATTCAATCAACTTGTTAAATGGATTTGAATACCTTTTGCGTATCCCTTGAATTTTCAGATATTTGGTCATGTGCTAATAAGTGTTTAACAGCTGACTCTTCAGGAGAAAAATTAGTGCTGGCTGATTTCCCTGATGGAAATACTTCTACCACTACCGATGTCACGCCACCAGTGTGATGTCAGCCAGCTCACAAAATCCCTGAAAATTTAACAATCGGCAATTTAACAATGGGAGCTGGTAGGCAAGGCTCTTTCACAGCACTGCTGGTCACGTAAGTTAGAACATCCAGATCTCCTAAGTGCTTTCACCCAGCTCCCAACATCCAGGTCAGGTTAGGGGTTCTCCATCCTGACTGCACCTGACAGTCACCTGGGTGCCGACAGAAATCTGGCACCCTGTCCCAGCCACAGAGGTTCTCATTCCATTGGTGTGGTATTTAGCCAGAGTAGCATTTTTTTTAACTCCTCAGATAATTTCTCTGTACAGCCAGGATTGAGGAACATTGCTCCAAGAGGAATATATGCTGCTTAGAACCCACTTACTCAACACAGAGTTGACAAATATATAATACATGAATTCCCTATTTTATTTTTTTCAAATATTTAAGTTTTAAAGAATGGTTGGCCAACTGTGCTTGTTTATAAAATTTTATTTAAATCAGTTCATTCAAGAAATGATTTCTGATACCTTTTCCTTTCATTTAAATAGTGACTGGCATGTAATCGAAACTCAAAGTATAATGTAACTATTATTGTTTTTGTTGTTGTTAGCATCTTAAATTTTATGATCTCTACCAACTTTTGTGATTCTCTTCTATGTTGGATTTTATCATTTGCACGTGATTGAATCTCAGATGATTAATGCAAATATGTTTGTCTCCAGGACAAAATTTTCAGCATCTCTCACCAAACAGACCCAAAATTAGGGATCTTCCTCTCACTCGGAACAACCTAGCTCCCCTACCAGACCAAAAGTGTAAGTATTTTGAATTTTCCTCAGCTTTCTCTGCAAATGTTAACACTGCTAACACGTCTAGACAGGACTAAATGTTATTTCAGTTTGCTTTCATTTTTCAAGGGAACATCAGGTGCCAAAACTTGTAAATTACAGGAAAATAGAATAGAGACAGTCTTTAAAGCTTCATCCAACTTGGTAAAGCTTGTTTAAAAAAAAATACTTCCACTCTTGAGGAATTTTTGTGTTTGGACTATAAAAACAATAATGGAAGTTTATTTTGCTATGTATTATTTAACGTCTTTAAGAAGGTGCTTTAAAAATTCTTCTCTTGGGTCTGGCTTCCTGACATTGGTTCCCTTACTCTATTGGACAGATAAAAATGTGTGTTACTTCTGTACCCCCAGGTTATGCATTCCTAAGCAGAAAGTAATAATCAAGTGGATGCTATTCATCAGTTTTACTTTAGGCATTATTTTGTAGTATTTTATACAAAACTTCTCATACTATAAACTGTTAATATATTCTGTTCACCCTGTGATAAAGTTTATGTGTGATTAAGTATTATCTGGAGTGCTTGTTATGAAGTAGATTCCTGGGCTCCACACTCAGAAATTCTGAGTTTGTATAGCCTTATATCTGTACTCTGAGGCAGTGTAGGTGAGAAAACTGAGTTCAGAGAGGTTACCTGACTTGCCCATTGTTACTTAGGTAGTAAATAGCAAAGCCAGGAGAAAAACTACAGGATACTGAGTCGGCTGACTCATGAAATAAGTGATGCTCACTGGATTCTAATTTCTTTCCTTTTCTTCCTAGCCCAACCCACTTGTTTATAACATATGTGTGAGCACACGCCCTCGACATCCTCTAAACTGCAGAGGTTAGATGACTTAGAAGCTGCCTGAACTATTCAACACAAGTTCCTTAACCTTTCTGTGCTTCAGTTTCTTCACTTATCTTATAAGAGTAGTGCAACCTGATAAGACTGTTGGGAGGATTAGATGAGACAATATGTGTAAAACACTTGGCAACTGTTTGTGCAGAGTAAATATCCAACATGGCTTTTCTTCCCTAGGCTATATAGTTTGGATGGGATCAATCAAGAGTTCTAGAACTCTTTAGGTAAAAACAATGAACCTTGGGGGCTTAGTGTAACCCTGTCTTTCTTCAGATAAAGGGAGAGGTGGAGAGATAGGTCCAGAGTTAGTAGCAGAAACCAAGATCTTTTCCTTGACAGATCATTTCCTTTGTGCAAAGTGAGAGTTTTGAATGGTGTGAATTTAATCATTAAATGAAATTCAAGTCTGACTTTGTCTTTAGGCAGAAAAGTGGTCACAAAGACATCTAATTAAGGAAAGAATCACTCAGCCTTGAATCCTGACATGGCTTGGAGAAGCCAAAGAGGGGATTTTCTTTGGCAGAGCCCAGAGGCTTTGCTTTTCACAATTAAATTTAAGGAGACAAGGGAAGATAAACTGTAGCTCTATGAAAAAGAAATGGAAAGGTACAGTGCTTTTCCTAAAAGAACTGAGAACCTTTTGAGGTTTGCATAAAAGCAGTGTACAAACATCTTGGGACTTATTTAGAGCCTTGTGCTGACTTGGCATCAACAGCTACTCCACCCAGGGAAGAGAGAGCTCTGCCAGGCACACACAGCCCAAACATGTTTTGATCAAACCTAGCCCCACCTTGTATTTGTGCATATTTGACATCCCTGATTAACATGTAATAACCCTAGATACGCAGAGAGATAGAGAGTTAGAGAGATAGATAAATACAGCTTTCTCCTGCAGTCTAGCTTTCCCCAAGACAAGCTTCTTAGAAGGGCCTCCAACTCCATAAGAAATAACACAGTTCTATGATCATTCCTTGTGAGACTCTGAGAGAAGCATACCTTTAAAGTCTCTCATTCTGTTCTTTCCTCCCAGTTCTATCTGGAGAACCTCTACGGACAAACCGAGTGCTGCCTGCTATTCCAAGCCAGCGGGGACCCAGCCCATCAACTGAAGAGAGTGAAAACTCTGCCAATCCCACCAATGATGGAAATTAACTGTGGGTCACTGACTATAAAGATATAGATTATATGTATTTTCAGCTGTCAAAGGATGAGATTACTCTAGTTTGTAAGAACAAAGACTAATTTAGTAAATTGCATTCTATAAGCCATTCATGGTTTTATAACTCCCAGTTCTTTATTCCAAATAAGCGCTTAGAATCTTTGTGCGTACAAGTATGTGAGTCTCCATGGCCCCTACATGGCAAAATAAAAAGCCCCAACACGTTACCAGCAGGGAGCCCTAGCTCTGTCTGCTTTGCTTTGTGGAATGTCTTGTTGACTTCTGTTTAATGATTTTATGTTTTTAAAAAATGTATGCTTTGCTGAATAAAAAACAAAGGGCATTCCATATGTGTTCTTTACATTTATTACAATTCTACCTTGGAATAACAAAACTTAATGAAAATTAAAGTCAGTGTTTATGGCTTTTATATGTACAATCTTCTGCAAAATATTTTCTAGCAATGTCAGCTCCTGGCTAGAGCCCAAATCACTTAACAGTGTTTATGTATCTTCTTTGTTATTTGATTATTTCCACCTATTGTTATTTTCAGATATGATTGATTGTTCCAATACTGAGAAGATCATGTGAGTTGGAAAGGTCTACATCCTGGCCTAACAGAATGAAATAGACATTTCTCATATGTTCCTCACATACTCTACATATTTAATCATTCTTTTTTTTTTCTGTTTCAAAATAACGGTCTCTGCCTACTCAAGACATTCTCATACTTATGACTTAGCAAAGTTTTAAAGACTACTCCTAACTGCAGATTTCCTTACTAAGAAGTTTATGTATTGTTTGGATTGATTTAAAGTTCAGGGTTTAGCCAAATAAGACCATAATCACTCGATGTTATTTCCAAGCCTGCATGTTATTCTGGAAATATCTCAAGTACAACATTTACCATTTTATGATAGCATTATTTATTTAGCAGGGTCAGACTGTGCCATTAACTAAATAGAAGCTCCTCTGAGAACAAATCAGTTACTTGGCTTTGCACATCTAGAAATATGTGCAGTACCTGGAACATGCCTAGGCATTCAATCATTTAGTTTTTCTAGGAAAGAAGGAAGGGAAGTCGGGAGATAGAGAAGGAGTTGGCAAGGTAGAAGCAATGTAAGAATTGATAATGAAAGAAGTTATTGGTCTTCGGTCTCATTTTGATAATGATAGTTGTCTGAACCAGGAATTATAAAAGAGAAAGCTTATGGATCAACCTCTGAAGCTAGACAGTAGCCAGAGGAAGGGCAAACCCTGGTACAAATGGAAGAGCGCTCAGGACATAGGTTCAGAAGGGTTTTCTTTTTTGTTTTTCGGTGGGCTGTTTTTGACTTTGCAGAATCATTCTTTGTAAGTATCAGTTAGGTTGTTCAGTTGTGTCACCTAGCTACTTTGGAATCCATGTCCTTCCTCAGGTAGATACCTGGCCCTTACTGCCTAGATTAGCTAGGATAGGTTAGCCTCTGCTTTAGTAATAAACAACTCACACTGGCTCTCATTGGCTAATACAATCTTTTTCTCACTCATAATACATGGCCCATTTCCAGCTGGCAGAGTTGTCTGGAATAGATTCCATTTCAACCTGTTCTTCCTTGGTGACCAAAAGAGAGAAGATCAGAGGTGAGTCTCATCACTTCCTCTCACATTTTATTTGCCAAATTAAGTCATATGGATGTGTCTAACTTTACAGAGGGTAGAGAAATTCAGTCCTTCCATTTGTGTCAAGAAGGAGGAGAACCAGAATAAATCATCCAGAAGATTACCACACTAACTAAAGCTTGGGCCCTAAGAGATCACCTAGTGGATAGCTAAGAGGTCAAAGCAATAAAACAAAACAAAATACCTCTCTTTACAGCTATGGAAAACTCACCATCCCTCAACACTTGAACTTACATATTCAGACAGAGGATCTTCTAATGTTGGCCCTTTCCATCCAAGTT